AGTCTCCTTTCTATACGATCAACAATTGTATTCTTCTGGACTATTTTCAGGGGTCGTGAGAAGTATCCTCTAGTGCAGGGCTGTCTCAGGAATTCTGGGAGCTGAAGTCCACAGGTTGTAAAAGGGCCACATTTGCCCACCCCTGCTCTAGTGGTTCCTTTTCTTTCTTAATGGATTATTCAAGTCGGTGTTGCAAATGGGAGTATTCCAGTAAAATGCTATAAGGCTCAATTTTTTCATACTCCTTAATATCTACAGGAATACTGAGAGACACTATCATTTGTTCAGTATGTGGTATCATTAATATGTTGTCAAGTATCATCAGTATGTTGTCACTCTAGGCTACTCCAGCAATGAAGTCCAAGACTTATCCTGAGCCTAGAGGCTGTTAGAGTTGCGATGGGAAAAAACACACAGCAATTGAATCCAAGCAGAATGGAGCAGCTATTAATACAATGACGTTCTCTGCTGCTCCTCGTGTTATTTCTTGAGAATGTTAACCTTATTCCAGAGGGACTCAGTCTGTAACTTGGACTCATTGCTGCTGTTGGTTGGGCAGATGAAGTTACTAAAGGACTGTTCTCCAACTTCAGCTAGAACCCTGATTGCTTTGGAAGCAGGGGAACATTGTGATAGTGACTCATATTTACATCATCCATCCCAGATCTTCAATGTAGACCAGATTAGGAAACAAGTTACAAATGCTAATTTTACCTTTATTATAAGGTTACAGGAGCAGAATCCTGAAAGTCTGAATGCAGTTCCCCCTTCCATCTGTTTAGCTTCATAAGAACTTCATAAGATCATGTCTGAGACATAGTTCTGCTCTAGAGTCAGCTTTCTATTGTCTGATAGTTCTTGGTTGCAGCTCTTTCTCTTGTACCTTACAGTTATGCCTACTGTCCATTACTTTCCACCATGCTAGATTTCTGCAATTCACTCCTTATGGGGTTATCTTTAAAGACCACCTGAAATCTACAATTGACTCAAATTGCAGTTTTTCTCCTTCCATTAGAATCAGCCCACCCAGTAACAACATCTTGAGAACATTTGCCTGGAGTTTCTCACTGTCATGAAGTCAGAGGTTGAGGCCAGTTTGATTAGCCTTAATATTTCTGACCTTCTGCAGCAAGCAAAGAACTTTCTTCTTTGAGGGATTTCTTAAGTTAATAAAGAGAAAGCCAAAGGAATGCATATATCTGACATCAGTACAATCGAGTGAGTTCAGAAGTATTTGTTGTGGCCCGCCAGCTGCCAGCAGAGCTGGTGGCAGACTTGGACAATAAGGAGGTTAGGGAGGAACTTGGACCAGTTCTGGAGTCTGCAGAAGGCTCTGATGGATGCTCTGTTTCAAACACAGAGATAGAGCCAGGGCCATCCAACATTTCCCAGCCACCAGAAAGATAGCTGCCTTTGGAGGCTGATATGAGTGAGGAGGAAAAACGGTTTGGATAAGTTAGAACTGTGTCACTTGTGGTCAGACCTAGCTATTGCATACAAAATTATACGTAGTAATGCTTTAACTATAAATTACTTTTTCTGTTTTAATCGCAATAATACGTGCACGAACAAACGCTTTAAACTCAATGTAAATTGTTCTAAACTTGACTGTAAAAAATATGATTTCTGTAATAGAGTTGTCAAAGTCTGGAATGCTCTACCTGATACAGTTGTCTCAGCTACAAATTTTCACAGTTTCAATCACAAATTGACTTCCGTGGACCTTACTTCATACTTAAGTGGTCAGTAGAGGGGGCATGGATAAGTGCACTAATGTGCCTATCATCCCTGTCATTGTATTTTTTTTTATTCTTGTTCTCATTTTTGTTTGACAAATTGAAATTCAAATTCAAATTCAAATTCAAATTCAAATTCAAACAAACAAACAAACAAACAAACAAACAAACAAACAAACAAACAAACAAAATGTGTAATGATCCAAGGAGCTTGTTAGTATTAGCAGTTGCATTATATTTATCTTCACTGTACCATAGCTGTTTTCCTTTGATGTTTCTGTACATCAAAGATTGTTGTACAGAAGATTACAGAATTCTTTAAATTAAATAAATACACCTTGTCCTTTTATCCCCTGAAAAGTTTACTTCTCTAAATATTTCTGTATATAACTAAGTAAGCCATGTCTCTTGCTCAGTTATCTTTACACATATGGTATCTATGTGGTCATAAGCCCAAGCAGGAGTTTTATCTTGCTTGGATGTATTATTTGTCATTCAAATGTGTGACATGCAAATGAGCTCAGAGGTTTAATTCACATGATGATAAATTTGCATCAGAACTGTGCAACTGAGATGGTAGATTTATTTATTTGTTTATCAAGGAACATTTGTATTCTGTTGCTCCAGAATCAAGAGTTCCCTGACTGATAATAAGTGTAAGACCTTTTTTTCATTCAAATTAATATCATAATGCAAATTATCATATTAAAATAATTATTGATGTACATCAAAGTGTAGTTGCTTATGGATTTGCATATCATTACAGTGCTAATTGCTTTGAGGTTCATTACTTCTTGTCAGTGGTCAGACTACTCTTCTCCAATTGCCTCAAGAAGCATTGGATTACAAATCCCAATTTGGAATTCTGAGATAGTCCAATATAGCTGGAGTCCACCAGATTAGGAAAGACTGAAAGTAAATCATGCATCCTAGTTCTGAGTTAGATTGATAATCTGAGCCAATGTAAAATAGGTTCATGTGTAGGACTGTCTTGAATTCTTTATAAATTGGCCTGAGATTTTTCTCTTTATTGTGATTTGGTCTTGACAATCAATCCCATCTGGAGGAGCAGTAGTCAATTACTTTAGTAGGCAAGTACTGCTTCTTATCAGTGCCCACTTACTTGCAGTGAAAACAACTAAGAATATCCCCCTAAACACTAACAAATTCACTAAATAGCAACAGCAATAGCACTTAGATTTATATACCGCTTCACAGTACTTTACAGCCCCCTCTCTAAGCAGAGAGGGGTTTACAGAGTCAGCATATTGTCCCCAACAATCTGGGTCCTCATTTTACCAACCTGAAATCATAAATTTTTATGGGTGTAAATGTATCTGATAAAATGGACTGTTGTCCCTAAAGGAGGATAGCACAATAAATGTGTTAGCTGTTGAGGTGCCATGCTCCTTTTGTTATTTGAGTTGCATAAATGGATACCACTTGAGAAACTTTAAAGGGCACATTTTAAGAGCTTGCAATGAATGACTTCTCTAAATGGGCTTTTCCCCATTACTGTGCTGGAATGCCTTGAGCTTGTAGAAAGCTGCTACTGGCATGAAATTTGCTGTATCCATTCCTTTTTTCTTTCCTGCCTCTATTTAGTTTGCTCCTGTCCCCAGGCTTCTCTCTGCAAAGCCTAACCAATTGGATACATCATGAGGCTGCCTTTGAAATATGTTGGACTAAGTAGGAAAATGCTGCTTTAACACCACTACAGTTAGTCTGTCTCACTAGTGTGGAATGAGATGAAGGTAATGCCATGGGAACATTGAGAAAATTATACCTGAATACCATCTCACCCCGATGGGTCTAAGTGCCCCATTTGTTCCAGCAGAAAGGGTCTCCTTTGGATCCCATGGGACAAAGAATTTCAGCTGGTGGGGTCCAGGAGAAGGGCCCCCACCTAGAATATTCTCCCATCTGAGGTGAGGTCCACCCCAGATTCCTGGCCTTCTACTGTGGAAGAGTCTAAAAACTTGGCTCTGCTGCTTGGCCTGGAGCCCCAATAGGAGGCTGCTATGCTGTGGGTGGTTTATGGGGCAGAGAAGACTCCAGCATCTTGATTTTTAACTTTTCTAGTCAATTTTTTCTAATTCCAATTGTTTTTAATACTTTTAACTGTTCATTATAACCCGCCCAGAGTCACAGTATTAGTGAGATGGCAGCATAGACATTTAACAAACAAACAAACAAACAAAAACATTTCTATGGTTTGCTCCATAATCAGCTGCAAGTGTACAAAGGCCCTTTATCTCACACATACTTATCTATTTGTTCTGATATATGGTAAGAGATGTAATAAGATGTGGATGTCAGTTTCTAATTAATTTTAGCTGAAAATGTGAAATGCTGTCTTGGAAGTGCTTGTTGGGTCTCCATATACTGTAGCTGTATTGGCTGTTACTGGCTATGCTGGCTAGGCAAGATGGGGGTTGTAGTAAAACAACAGAGCATATAGCGTTCCCATGGCATAGAAAATACAGCATATTTTCTCAACTGAAAGGGAAAGAGGGGTTTAGCTGGAAGAAGACGACAGGGTGCAAAAGCCAGGGGTGTCACTGATTTGCGCCGAACCATAATTTGTTGTGCCGAACAATAATTTGTTTTGTATTGTCTTATCCCATTGTATAAACCCAGACATTGTGTGTAAAACCATGGATCAATCTGCGGTATTCGCCTCCAGAAGATTGTGACTGATTTCAGAAATCATTAGCACTATTACGGAGCCCAGGTTTGGCTAAGTTATATATGTTGCACCTATGTTATTACATGGACATGGGTGGGGGGGGGGTGGGTGTCAAACTTCTTTCCCAGAGCTTAGCACACAAATGATTTCTCAGCATTTGGGGAAGGGAATGAGGCTTTGTCGCATGCAGAGCGTACAAGATCCTCTACAGCAAGATGAGTCATAGCCTTTACCAATAGCATTGAGAGGTAATGCGGGCAAGTGAATGGAAATGGAAAGAGGCAGCCTGGAGCGCTATGGGCTTTTTCGGTTTTGTCTTTATTCCCATTTGTGTTTTCTTTCTGGGAACTTGGGAGTCTCCGCTGAGGAGAGGCTTTGCCAGCCCTGAAGTCCAGTAGTCACGAATCTTTGGCGGTGTCACAGTGTGCCCGAATTTGGGGGGGTGGGGAGGGGGCTTTCTTACATTTTAAAGCCTTTCTAAGTGGCCCAACGGGACGCACCGTTTTCTCTGTGATATATTTGATGTGGCACGCAAGGGAGAGGAAAAACTTCAACCAGCGGGATTTACAGGCAATAACCGTGTTGCCACACCCCTTTTCCTTTACGGCATCCTGGTCTGAACGGCTGTCTATGGTTTATGTGCCTCTGTGTGTGTGTGTGAGAGAGAGAGAGAGAGAGAGAGAGAGAGACAGAGACAGAAAGAAGAGAGAGACGGGAGATGGGAGGGGGGTTTGAAGAAATGCAAAGCAGGTGAATTTCGCAGCCCGCTCACATGCCTGGGTCTGCATGCCAAGGAGCAGCGGCGGCTTCTTTCGTTTTTGGAGCTTCTAACAAAAGGCGGCTTCAGTCCCCCAATATGATCCTATTAGTCTCAGCGGGTTGAGTCTCGGATTCCTTGTTCCAGAATGACAACAACAGGGCTGGAGGGGGGGCTCAGCGGAGGATTTGTAGAAGGCAGCGGCCGCCAGGGCCGTCCTTAAAGGAAACAGGAAGTGCCGAGAAGTAATAACGCAACGTGCTCGGGGTGGGCAATGGTCCGGCTTGGGAGCGCTCTTTCCTCAAGCCTCTGGATCTGGCGCGGGGCTTTATGACACCGCTGTTTCTTGTGAAACTCTCTTTTCAGGTACAGGATTTCCTGCCCGGAGGAAATCACAATTCGCTTGGAACCTGATTCCAACCGGGAATGTTTTTTTCCTCCGGCTGCTTTTCCCGCCGGGTATTAAATATATATATAGATAGATAGATAGATAGATGTATGTAGGAAAGTTGAACAGATGTGACGGTTCTTTCTTGCCTTTTTTTTTTTTTTTTAACCGGGGATAGTCCGTCATTTTTCCTTGCGAGGCTTCTTCCTCCTCCCCATCAGCGATACATGCATTTGCATTGATCTTACTGGAGGCGGCATTAAGCCCTCAGTTTCAGAGTGAAAGAAGATTCCCAAAGCGGGATTTTATTTCTTTGAAATCGGAGCCTTTGGGCTCCCTCGGGTTTTTTTTTTTTTTTCCCCTTCTTTTCTTCCCTTCCCTTTCTGTCGAGCAGCCGCTTCCCTCCCTGGGTAGGTGTCTGCCGGAGAAGCAGCCGGAGGACAAGCCGTGGCAGGATGGAGAACCCACCTAGAGGGGCCCCCTTGACGCTAGCACATCCTCACTGCAGCCCGGGGGCTAATTCTGCTGCACAATGATAGTGGCCGAGGCTCCCCTGCAAGTGTCCCAAGCTCCCGGGAAGAAAGGAAGATAAATGGTTTTCGAAGGTCAGTGTTGCAAATCGTATCTCTAGGCGGAAGGAAGGAATGCAGGTTCTTCCACCTGCAGAGCGGACTTTGGGTCGGGTGGGTCCCCCCTCCCCCTCGAGTATCACGTCTCTCTATCCAAGGATGTTACCAGACATTCCGGAGTAACAGTAAACAACAGCTGGGACCCAATTCCTTGAGGGAACCTATTAAAGGAAAAAGAGAGTTTATGAGGAAGAATGTTTAGAGGATGGAGGACTTTCAATTGTAGTCTTTGGGCAGGGCACATGGCTTTTTTTTATTTATTTTTTTAGTTCTACAGAATATAGTATTGACTTAAAAGCCACAACCCTAAAGCTGGACACTGCAGCAAAGAAATCTATATTTTAACAGCAGGATTCTAGGTGTGTTTTCTCAGAAATAAGTCCTGTGATTTTGGTGAGACTTACCCTCTGTTCACCCTTAGTGTCATGGAATTATCATCTTCCTTACAGTTGAAAGGGCAGCTTTGTAATGGCGTTAAGTAGCATCCTGGGAGCACCTTTGGTTCACAATGGTGTGTCGACATCCTCTTCTCTTCTCACGGAGCAAGAAAATAGCACTGCCTAGGACCCTCTTCTCTGAAGTGAGTCAAGGAGCTTTATTTCTAGATGAAAAGTTTGTTTTGTGTGCGGTTATTCTTCGTGTTTTGTCCCTTCTTTCTTGCCAAAAGGATTAAGGAATGCTGAATATGTATTTAAGAAGGAAGAAAAAGCAATATCTATTTCTAAAGGACAGCATGGCAAAACAGTATGAAGTTTTGCTTTTCCTCTTAAAAACTGATCTAACACAGATGGCAAGAAACTCACTTTTGACTCACATTTTCCTACTGTCTAAAATGCTGCATATGAAGACACTTTAATTCATACTTGGAATTTATCAAGGGGAATTACTGCCTTTATTTAGGATCAGCTACATAAAGCTACATTTCTTTTATGATATTTTTTTTCTTACACAAGCAAATGGCATTAATGGATGGACCTAGAGTTAGAAAAAAATAAATTCTTCAAGTTCAGTTCAACTCCCAGTGACTACCCGGACACATCCCTGCAGTTTTCTAGGGGACAATACAGAACTCATTTGCAACTGCATTCTTCCAGGATATATATATTTTTTGGACTTCCCAATCTTGCGTACAGAAGGTCTCTCATCCATGTGCCAACCAGGCCTAACATTGCTCAGCTTCTGAGTCCAGATATGGTCTGCAGGTGCTAGAAAATTTTAGGAAAATTCTGTTCTCTATGCTGGAGCTCCAGAAACACATGGAATACGATATATATGTATATATAAGCATATATATTGAAAACAATTGCAATAGTCCATTACACTAGCTGATGCTATTGTTGCTGTGGAGTGTACCTATGAATACCGCAAGAGATAAAAGTTTTGGATTGATAAAGACTGATGCTGACAGAACTATGAATGTGATGCATGTAAACAATTTCCCATTCAGAAGGCATTCATGGATATGGTGAGTAATTGCTGCATGCTTCAGCAAAGAGCCATCTTTTCCTATCTAAGTCCCACTAAACAAGATCTTGACTATGATTGCCATAAACCCCAGTCAGATTTGGCCCTATTGATTTGGAAATGTAGGAGTCTAAGAAACATGGGAGGAAGTTCCTGATTTATTAGCTAAACAATATGGCAATGAATTATTTAACACCTTGAATAAAAATGAATCAGTTTGGAATGGTAAGCCAGATGGAACAAAAATGCATGTGATATAAATCAGGTTTTATATAAACATATGATGTCATTCTGCCTGAATTTGGTATGTTTTATCTGTTCATGTATATAACTTTTCAGTGTTTTGACATTTGAGTCTCTTCTTATAGAGGTATTACACTGAAAGGGCTGCTTAGCTCATAAGCAATTGGATGTATGCCTTTTCCTCCCTTCCCCCTCTCCCTGCCCCACCCCCTTTTTGCTAGAAAATGCACCAGAATATGAATAATGCTTTCTCTAAGAAATCCTCTACACGTCCTCTTTGTTAAAATATGTAATATCAGTGAAAGATTAAGAATGTGCACTTTGGACAAGTTGCATACTTTTATTTTTTTTTAAAAAAAATTCTGCTCTGTAAGAATAATTAAGAAAAGAAGCATTCGTGGCTTAGAAATTTTATGCTTTTCTTTTCTGTTTTCCTGTATAATTCTTATATAATGATATAATTTGCTTGTACCATTTACAGTACTAAATAGTATGCTATAGAGAATTGTCAATTTATGTTTATATACCATAAAATACATGCTAGGATCTTTCTCTAGGGACTTCTTGCATCTTTCTCATAAGGAACAACAAAAGCAACATTTTGTTTTTCTTTAAGTATTTCATGTATATATTTGAAACTTGGGAAAGAAAGGGCTCTGCATTGCTTTCCTATAACGATTTCTAAAACAATAAAAGAAAAGAAAAATAAATTGCATGTTTATAGTCTTTAAATGACCAAATTAATAAGGTATTTTGACTTTACTAATTCACATTATTTGTACTAAGTGTTTTTCATCTGTTCCAAAGCCAGACATTATAACCATTTGGGGGCAACATCAAAATCTCAAAATTGTAGGAACTCAACTTTTCCTTTCCTGGTCAGTGACACATCTACACTTATCTATATGCAATTTCTTCTTTATCCATACATTTTTCATTTAAAATTTCATTTTTTTCATTTAAAGGAAACATATATGATCAATGACCAAGTCATATTGACAATCATATTATAAACTTATTTTTTTTTCCACGTGAATTTTATTAGTTCTTCCCATTCTTTCCCTCTTCACTATATTGGTTATGAGAAGTAAGTGAGGAGAGATAAATGAAAGAGATGACATTTTTAAAAAGTTGATTTTCATGAAAAATGTGCAGACGTTGCACATTATGAAAATGGCCACCTGTATCCTAAATGAGGACCCGGATTGTGGGGGCAATAAGCTGACTTTGTATAAAAAAGAACACCGTTTGTGGGGGGAGGGGGGGCAAAAGCCCTACTAAGCAGGTATATACAAAAGTATGAAGGCTATTGCTTAACACATTGTAAGCTGCCCTGAGTCTCCGAAGAAGGGCGGCATATAAATCGAACCAATAAATAAATAAATAAATGAACCAATTCTCTTATAGGTTGGTCATAAAGCAGTCTAGAGATTTTTGGATAAATGTATTAGTTTGGCACAGACCATTGGCCTACCCAAAAGGAATTAAGTGAGCATGGATGAACTTATCAGGAAATACTAGTTCCATATCCCCAGTGCAGGCTGTTGAAAGGAGAGGGGAAAAGAAGACTACTGGAACAGAACAAGGTGCAGGGTCAAATTAATATTTCAATTCATGTCTAAAGCAACCATTATGGAAGAAAGAAGCATTTATGCTGTATATTAACTAAGAAACAAGATTCCAAGGTAGTTGTATGAATTAGTTCTTTAGATCTAACCAGATAAGATAAACAGGATTAAATTTAGATCCCAAAGATCCTCTTAGGCCCAGACTGAAATAGGAATATGTGACATCAATCCTGAAGACTGGCAGCAATATGAGACCTCAGAATGCACATGGCTAGGTATAGATACTGGGAACCAAACCTTCTGTACTGAGGTGATTATTTGCTGGTCTCTCTTTAGGCCAAGGGTATAAACTGTGATGCTGGGGGAAATATGGTCCCCCAACTCCTTTTCAAAGTGAGGTATGTGTTAGTGTGAGGCAGGTTGTGAAATATAATGGGTGCCATTTCATCCATTAAAGCCCTGGGAGCCTCCAAAGACAGATCTTACTCCTGCCTGCATTGGGGTTATTCTATATGTTGTGGAAAGCCTGCTGTGGCTCTTGGGCTGCACAGAATATGTACAGTATTAGCATCCCCCTTTTCCTTGAAAGTAGCATCTAAACTCCTTAATACTGTGAGCAACCTCTGCACAAAATGTTGCTTGCTTTAGAATATGCTGATATTAACATATATTGAATATAGCCAGTTGTTCCCAGCTTGCAGAGAAGAGAGATCTGGTACCAATGAAGGAATACATGGGTGAATTATTCTATTGTTAGATATTGTTGACAAGATATTTGAGAGTGTTTCACTTGGTATTTGCCTTTATAGATATATTAGTACAGCCCTGTTCTATAAAGATGAAGTTGATTGAGGAATGTTTGCAATTATAGACAATAAGTGGGAAACCTTGCCAATTATTGTCAAATATTTACTGTTGATGTAGTTCTGCATATTTCATATTTATAGCTGAAAAAGATGCTTGTTGCATGAATATTTTCACATGGGAAGGGGAACACATTGCTTGCTTCAAGTTCCTCAGGTGCTTGTAATGATGTGACTGGGTAGTCTACACAAATCCAGTACTATTAAACACTACTTATGACACACATTGTGCAAGAAAATAAACAAGAATATAAAATAGGATTAATATTTAAACTAATAGAGAGAGACAGAAAAATAAAACATAGGGGATAGTAATCGAATTGAATGTGAGTCAGCAATGAGTCAGAACAGGAGAGAAACCGTATAATTAGCACACACACAAAAAAAAAGTATAGTGCCCAAGAATGAGAATAGGAAAAGACGATTTTGTCCAACTTTGACACAGCTAAGCATTATGTTAAAAGGGTAAAATCTGCTGTGAAACCTAAGAGAACTGTTACAGACAATAAGATAAAATATAGCAGGTTTCAAAGAACAACTAGAAAAGAAACACAATGATTGTCAAAACAATTGTCTGCAGAGATGTTGAAGAAAAAGTTGTGTCATTCTGTTGCCCTGTAACTGACAAATTTCTTTTTGGATAGATGCATATTTCATCTGTCATCTTCATATACCGGTAGGTCTTTTATCTAGTTAACTGCAAGCTTCAAGAAGAAAACCACAAATTAATCAACAACATTTTGGCCTAGAGCTTGTGCAGAGCCAACCTGTATGATTATTTTATGGTTCACTGTGTTGTGCAATCTGACAAAATTGTTAATTTTGTAAACTGTCTCTAAGTTACCCATAACTTTGGTAAATATATGATATGAACACAGCTATTACAGTATCTTAATAACTTAGCAAATTAATTTGAAGAGCAATTAGTTTCCTCTTAGAATCTTGCCTGTAATCTAATAGATTTTACTAGAAAGCTGAGCTGCCACCTGTGCACAGGATGAGCTTCTGTGTGATTCTGAACAGTCGATACTATAGAAGAAGGAATTTCTCACCCCAGACAACAAGCTGAAATCCTGTTCGTCTGTAACTATGACAGTGATCATTCCAATTTCCTGTGCATCTGGTCATTATATCTGCTTTGGAATAGTCAATTTCAGTTTTATAGATTAGATTGCTTTATTCCTAATAGATATGTGAAAGTTTCAGGCTGATTATGCCAAATTGAGTGTGTGTTTTTGTTCAGTGTTGGCTTTGAACATTCTTTTTAGTGCAAAAGCAGGATTAAAACATTGATTTTAATAAATCAGTAATAATTGTATAATATACCTGTGTTATGGGGCAGCTATTAGCCTGCGGGAAGCAAGCCCTGTTTGGATAGAATAATTGTTTCAAAATGGAAACTCAGTTCAGAAATCTGACTGAACTACTTTAAAATAAAATCAAACCTCAGGACTGAATATTCACATGGTTCTAGTATCTATTATAAATAAGTAAATGATTTAGAAGTATATTTTACATGTATTCTGGAAAATGTTATTCCATAAGTCAATGGGCAATTGTGTGTTGAATGTAACCCCAAAGGAAGACTTCTGTTCCTGTCTTTCATACGTGTACTTTATATGTAGACGCCAACATTGAAAATGGATTGGCTGAAAGAACATTATTGCAATTTGCATCAGATTTTGTGTGATAGTATTTCAAGGGTCACAGCATAGGCAAAACTCAGGATGGAATAGAAGAGATCAAATAAGGAGTGAAAAACAGTCAGAATAAGGACTAAAGTAGCTTAGTTTTTTTTAGTTTTTTTATTTATTTTTATATGCCGCCCTTCTCCGGAGACTCAGGGCGGCTTACAATGCATTAAGCAATAGCCTTCATACTTTTGTATATTTTATACAAAGTCAGCTTATTGCCCCCACAAACCGGGTCCTCATTTTACCCACCTTAGAAAGGATGGAAGGCTGAGTCGACCTTGAGCTGGTGAGAATTGAACTCGCAGTAATTGCAGGCAGCTGGATGTTAAATGCTGCCTTAGTAGGAGGCATTAGCCTCCTACGCCACTCAGGCTCCTGTTAACCTGTTAACCTGTTGCTCAAATTAAAGTGTCACATATAATTTTAAAGATGATAAAGAAGGAATGACTGTGTTTATACGTTTGATGCTGACTAAAAATTCTGATTTGAGGCATATCTGTCTGTTAAGTTAGTGATTGATAGAGAGATGTCATCATCAGCCATTCAGTACTCTCTGACACTCGGCCACTGGATCAGCACTCTCCATGCCCTTCTATCTCGCACCGCCTCCTTCAGATAAGCCATGGTCATTCT